TACGTAGCTCCGATACGTAGCGATGCAGACAGAAGCGTGTACAGTATGAGCCAATCAGTGGCAGTAATGACAGAGCATGCGCTCTTACGCAAAAACCGCGATAGAGTGAAGCCGCGGAAGTCGAAGCGCGAAGTGGTGAGGGTTCACTGTACATACGTACAATATATTCACATGGTATTATGTCCTCACTGAGTCTTTCCTCAAGTACACATACGAGGGGGTACCCACCCCAAACCTAGAACTAACTCGCTGAGTGGAACAGAGCTTTTGTAGTACGCATTTTCCTGAGTACTCATTTTTCCTGTTAGGTCAACATCGAGCGACTTGCTCTGAGTTAGTGCACCCAGTGGTGTCACCTGGGAAGGTTCTCTCTGGTCACAGTGATTTTTTCCGAAAAAACAGTTTCACTTGAACCTTGCTTTTTGTGATGGCCGATTTAAGACAACAGTGTGGGGCTGTGAAATTTTGGTTCCTGCTCGGGAAAAATGCCACAAAAACTGTTGTGATGTTGAACACAGCTTACAAGGACAGCACTATGGGAAAAACTTGTGTACGAATGGTTTTCTTATTTCAAAAAGGGTGAAGTGTCGATTAATGACAAACCTCATTCTGGACGTCTGTCAACTTCGCAGACAAAAATGTCAACTCTTAACGCATTTGGAGTTTGTTCTACCAGATCAGACTGTTAATCAAGCTTTCTATTCTAGAGCAACGGTTCTCAACATGTGGGTCACAACCCCTTTGCGGGGTCGAACGACCCTTTCACAGGAGCCGCCTGATTCTTAACAGTAGCAAAAGTACAGTAATGAAGTAGCAACGAAAACAATTTTATCGGTGGGGAATCGCAGCATTAGGAAGGTTGAGAACCACTGATTTAGAGGTTCTGAAAAGGCAGAATAACAGTGTGTGACCAAAAAAGGCCTGATTTGTGGCTGAGGGGAAACTGGTTTTGCCACCATGACAATGCACCTGTTCACGTAGCCATCTCTGTGCATCAGTTTTGGGCACACCCAAAAAAACCGAAACCCAAAAAAACCAGCATGTCTCTCTTGCTCCATGCACCTGATTCAACTGACCTTGCTGCACACAACTTCTTTTTGTTTCTGTGAATGAAGAGGGACATGAAAGGACAGTGGTGTGATGATGTAGAAGTGGTGAAGAAAAAAAACGAGGGAGGTGCAGCCATCCAAACAGTTGAATTTGAAAACAATGTTTCCAAGAATGGAACCGCAGATTGGACAAATGTATTAAGTGTAATGGAGAGTACTTTGAAGGTGATAAGGTTGTTTTGTAAAAAAAAATTAAATAACAGCTTTTGGGGGGTGGGGTTTCAGGCTTTTTTTGGGGGGGGGATACCCCCTCATATGTTGTTGTTGCTGTTAAGTGCCTTCAAGTTGGCTCCAACTCATAGGAACACGATGTGCAACAGAACAAATACAAACTGCCACCTGGTCCTGGCTCCATCCTCACAATTGTCATTATATTTGAGTTCATTATTGCAGCCATTGTGTCAATCCATCGTAAGGGCCTTCCTCTTTTTTGCTGCCCTTCCACTTTACCAAGCATGATGTCATTCTCCAAAGACTGGTACTGGTCTCTCCTGAAAATGTCCAAAGAACGTGAAGTCTTGTCATTCTTGTCTCCAAGGAGCATGCTGGCGGTAGTTCTTAAGACAGATCTGTTTGTTCTTTGGGCAGTACACGGTACTTCCAATAGTCTTTGTCAACATCATAGTTCAAATGCATCCATTTTTCTTTGGTCTTCCTTATTCAGTGTCCAACTTTTACATGCAGATGAGGCAATGGAAAATTACCATGGGGTGGGTCAGGCACACCTAAGTTCTCAAAGTACCACTCTTGCTTCTCAACACCTTAAGATTTACCTTATGCAATGTATTGTTTGATCTCGTGAATGATGTTTCCATGAGCATTGACTATGGATCCAAGCAAGATGAAATCCTTGAAAACTTCAATCTTCTCTCAATTTACGATGATGTTACCTATTGGTTTAGTTGTGAGGCTTTTTTTTTTTTACACTGAATTGTAATGTTTTATGTATACATATATACACACATACAGACGTGTGTATATGTACACTTAGAAAGAGAGTCAAAGATGAGATTCTACCATGTTAATAGTACAAAGTATCTCTGTATGAAAAAGGACAAGTGAGTTGTTTTTATGTCCCAATAGTCCTAAAATGAGCAGGCAAGACACTTTCACGAAGAACGTTCACACAAATTCTCCCCTGGCTTTTTATCCTCCAAAATGGTAGAGAAAAGGACAAAGATGAAATAATCTAAGGGTATTGCACTTTTGGGACTCTTTAAACATATTCAAATATAGCTAAACAAGAGAATCAGCTGCCAAAAAGAAAGGAAGACTACTGCCCCTGATTATCTCTAAAGAAACCTACAGTGTTACAGTATCCTTACCTCTTAACTGTAATCCATCTAGAGCTCAAAGTTCCTGGTTAAAAAGAATTTTAAGCCAAATACTTAACATCCAAAACCTATTTTTCTCTGGCCTGAAACCCATCATTAGTAATGAACAACAAGAATAACACAAGGTTAGGGTGGTCCTTACCATTAGTGCTTGACAGATCCTCTTCATGGGGATGGAAACTATTTAGCAGAGAAATTAGCCAGGGCCAAATGCTGCAAACGAAAGAACTAGTTCAGACTTCACTTTTATATAAGCAAAAGGAGAACACTGCTAAGCTGTGAAAATGATCTCTACAGAACCTGGACTTGATGTATTTTCCCCTTGCTTCAGCATTTTAAAGGTTTATGTTTAAACGTACAGCATTTTTGAAGACAGTATAAATCCTAAAACATACCATGTCAAAAGGTCTAGAAAAAAGATCAACTTAACTCTCTCTACTATGCAGATTGGTCACCAAACTCCTGAATTAAAAAATAGTGAAAATAACGTGTCTACTTTGAACATTGGAAATGGATTTTTATTGAGAGCTCTGAAAAGAGTAACAATGTCCCGCACCTACATGGTCTCTCTTAGGTTGTTAGAGCTGTCACAGGCATCATCGTTATGGAATTCCTCATCAGCTCTTTATGAGGAACTGAGCTCTACACGCAAACTCAAGTAATTCTTTAATTATAGTCTTTGGTTTCTGAGTAGAGCATGTTAAGAGTCTCCACTATGGATACAGATCTGTAAATATCCCTTTACATTTAAAAATATCACTATATTTCAAACATCAGGAAAACCTATTACATTTTTTATACAATGGATACCGAGTAAAGTATTTTTCTTAAAAGTAGCTAATACAATTGGTTTGAATGTTTATTTGCTGGGGTTGGGAAGTGATGTGGGTCAAAAGCAGTAGTAATGATCATTCAAAATAAGTTAGGTTTTGGTCTGGGGAAAGAAAACCTTGATGTTCCTGTAGCAGAGCCATCTATCTAAGTCATGTTCTGTTTAGGGTTTGGGTTCATATCAGGGGCTTCAAAAAGTTTGTAGCAAAATGGAATGATAAGATGATAAAACTTTCAGAAGTCCCCGCCTACAAAGTCCATTCTTGAATAGATGCCAACCAGTGTTGGTAAAAAGTGTGTTTAAAATAAACAAACAAACAAACAAACAAACAAACCTGGGCAAAGCAGCCAGGACAAGAAAACTGGACACAGATACTCACTTTATGAAAAACTATAAACTGACAGCTATTTCTGATTATATATCTATATAAACAAATATTAGGACACCCATGCTGCTATAAACATTTGTAGGCATAATAAATTATAAGAAACATGTGACAAAGACATTAATAATTTGACAAAGTATTAGACTGAAATGGCTGGAATACCACTATGCAACAAATATATTTGAAGAAAACAGAATGCAAAAAAACAAAAACATGAATGGAGGACTTAAAGGTATGTCAAACTTGTGTTCTACAAGAGAAAACACTACTTCATAGACAAAGCAGTCTTTAGGGTACAAATGAGATCCAATCCTCACTGTGTCTTTTGTAGGTAAGTCTGATTATGTGCACAGGGTAAGAGGGGAGCCCAGGAGGCGCAATGGCTAAGAGCTTAGCTGCTGACAGGTCCGTTCCTAAGGAGAAAGATAAAGCAGTCTGCTCCTATAGAATGTACATCCTGTGGAGCAGTCACATTCTGTCCTGTGGGTGTGCTGTGAGTGGGAATTGACTTTGGTAGCGGGTTAAGTGATTCAGGTAGTCCACGAAAAGGGTCAGTCAGAGCCTTTTCAAGAATTTAAAAGCTGCAGTAGCAGAAAGTGAAGATGAGTATAATGAGGCAATTGGTGTATACTTTAAAACATGAGAGAAAATTTACTGAACATTAAAGGGCAAATCAGAGCTGTCTTTAAAACACCAAACCAAACTCACTGCCAATGAGTTGATTCCAACTTATAATCATCCTATAGGACAGGGTAGAACTGTCCCTGTGGGCTTCTGAGACTAACTCTACAGGAGTAGAAAATACCATCTTTCTCCTGAGTTGCCTTCAAGAGGGATCTAGTTAGTGTGTGTGTGCATACGATTACCTGTAATTATCAATTTAACAATGTATACTTTCAAAAAAAATACAGAGGAAAATAAATTTTAATTGAGGTTATTGCCCAGAAACAAGAAACTGAAGACTATTAGAATATACATAAAATTCTGAAATCACAAAGGAAATAAGAGCTGTTTATCCATTATTTAAATAATACAGATGACGATTACTTAAACACATCAAACATATAACGTGTTAGAATGAAATACTTCAAAAAGCACACTATGGATTGAATTGTGTTTCCCAAAAATGTGTGTTATAAATCCTAACCCCTATACTTCAACTTATAATCCATCTGACAATGGGATTTCTCACTTTAATGAGATGCAATTAGTGTGGGTTGCATCTTAAGCCACCTTATGAGATATAAAAGCAGAGAAGGGGAGAGGGGTGCCGTGGTACATAAAGACTGCCCAGATGCAGAAGCTCAGAAGACACAAGGCTCTTTCTGTTATAGCAGCACTAGGTAATAACCGAGAGGGCATAATTCTAAAGATCCTGCTAGAGAAGGGAGAAAAGTGAGTGAGAGAACGCAAGAAAGAAAATGCTTACAAATAAAACGATCGCTATATAGTCTATAGAGGAGCACATATAGTTTACATATGCCCCTATATAGTCTACAGAGGAGCACATATTGTTTATACATGTGCTCCTATATAGTCTATAGAGGAGGAAGATGGAGTTTTCAATTCCTGTAAAGAGCTCCAGCCTCAGAAACTACTCACAGGAGCGGTTTACTCTGTCCGATAGGGTTGCTTTCAGTCAGCACTGACTAACTGGCAATGAGTGTGGTTTGGCTTCTTGGTCATTGTAAGACATAGTGGGCCAAGAGGTTGCACAGGAACAACAAGAAACAAAGCAATCAATCCTCACCCACAAAGAACTCTATTAGCAAATGGCAGAATAGTATTATTAGCACAACTTAAGTTTTAAAGAGTTTTAAAGTGCCAAAGGGTTAAAAGACTACATAAAGCCTGAGTCAAGAAATGACTATTTTGTATAAGGAAGTGACATCAGAACATCTGTATTACTAACAATACCTGGAACCACCTTAAAGGGTATGCTGTGCTGCTATGATGATGTCACAAAGGTGAGAAAAGATACCAGAGGGAACACTACTTCTGAACTACAGTGAGCCGGTTTCCAAGGATGTGACCATGGTGAGCTGTGACCAAGTGGCTAAGCAAACACGCAGTCAACTGATCGGTTCCCCTTAAATCCACCATCAAAATAGGCACAGGACTGTCTTTCACTGCACACAGCTTAAAAGCATTTATTCCTACAATCAAAGGTAATCTGAAAGTTTCATTTGTCATTGTAAATCAAGAGTTCCTAAGAATTTGTCAGAATAACTCTAAGTGGAGATAACAAGTGACAGCCAAAGTAACTTTTACTCTTTCATGCTCAGAACAAAAACATATTTCAAAGTGGGTGTTACTCTACGGCAACACCAGTTTATGTAGAGAATTGAAGAAATAGAGTCTGTGGAAAAAAATGCCTTTTCTCCTGGATGGCAACTGGGAACAAGGTGTGGGCAGAAGTCACCAATCATTAAGACGCATGTCTCAAATGAAGAGTTCCAATAAATAAATGACAAGAACACAAAGAAGCCTTCAGTTGAATTTCCAGAATAGGAAGAAAATAGAGCCTTCCGTTGTTCAAATGTTTCAGAAGGCCGTTTTTACATGTATCTGTGAGTATCAAGCAAAGCAAGCATACTAGCAAGCATGAGAACGACGATACTTACTACTGCTTTTCATCCACCACTGCCTCCTGAAAGACCCTGGGTCTGAGCCTTAGCCAGTCCATGGAGACTTTGACTGCAGGAAGGGGGTAGGCAACATAGGACTCCTCCTGAGATTCCTTCTGCAGAGGGCACTTGCACAGGATGCCAAGGAAAGACACTGAAAGATAAAATACATTCAGAAAACATAAGACATTTGAAACTGTGTGTGCAGTAGTGAAAACTAAAATACCACAGGACCCTCCTATTGTACCTTTCACATAGCCAGCAGCTTTCTACAATGTACTTCCTTTTTCATGCTAAGTAGTTATAGACACAACCGATGAAGGTGTATGAGCAAATAAAAGGCTAGAAGTTGGAGCTTAGGCTTTCTGATTCAATATTAGGAAATATAGGGCTTACTTTGTTACCAATAATGAAAATGACTTTAAGATTTATGCTTTCAAAGAAAAATCACAGGCCAAAGCTAAATGACTTCATACTCACTGAAGAGGGCCAGCAACTGTGTCCAACACAGCTGCTCATCTTGGCTGTAAATATGTTGCTCTGTTTCATTGCTAACGTCACGAAGGTGATGAAGTTGAAACAGGTTAATGACAGTGACGTGAACTAACTGCTGAGAGTTGAAAGCTTTTTGGAACAGTAGTCTCTGTAAAAGATGACAGGAATACTGGACATTATTATATAATCAATAATAATAGGAGGCATGCTGATAAACATTAACTGGCCAATTTATTTCGAGCCACAGATGAATAAACTGATCCAGTTGGAATCCCAGTATTTTATCTGGGTTGAATATGGTCTGATACTTCTCATGGTTAACTTTTTTTTTCCTTGAAAGATATTAATCCAGAAACTTCTAAGCCCCACAGAGTTGAATCATGTTGCATAATACTTCTTGCAGAAATTATTTATTTTTAAAATATGATCTGAAAACATTTTATGCTTCATCAATAAACTTATGTACTATAATTCAATAGAATTTATGAGACTTATATCTATAAAAATACGAAATTGGGACCAAGGACGAGAAAACAGGATGAAAAACATTTCAAGCAAAAAGATTTTAAAAATACCCTTTGAATTTAGGCATACAAAGCATGACTTGCAAAATTTAATAGAAAACTTACCCTTTCAAAGCCTTGACACATTAAAAGAACCTTTATCTAAGGGCATAGCATGGGGAAAAAAGGGTAAGTGATGGAGGAGTGCTTCTATGAATTATCACTCTGACATTTTCCCCCATTAGAAAAAGTCTATTATTCATATTCACCATGAAATTTCATTTACTATGTAATTATGATGATCTGCAACTAACACAACAAAGAGGAATACACCCAGATGTTCTCAGTTATTTGGCTTCACTTAAAGATCATCTTCCTACTGTATTTGTGTTAATAATGTAAATGCTACATAGCTTTCAAAAAGCATGCAATCCCCTTGCACATTCCTTTCCTATGTACACCATGCGTGGGCACATTACAGGCACTAGTTTTAGACTAGCCCTATTTTTCAAGCATATGTCCCTAAAAAAGTGGACAGCTACTGGAGATGATAACCTGGCTCCATCCAACACATTGGCCATAGCCAACCTCCTTCCCTCTTGAGGGAAAATCCTTGGAGACAGCAGGGATGCACTGTCACCCACTTTAGTGTGGGAAATAAATGGCCTTATTTATAGTTATACTAGCAGAGACAAGAGATCCTATTGACTCTTAAATTCAGGGTTGCCTTTGATCAAACTGCTTTACTTTTCCATTTACAGGGCTAAAGACTATGAAATACTGAATAAGCATTTTGGTTCTAATAGCAAAGCCTTTCACATTTTCACTAGAGAAAAATCAACTCCACTGCTCTTACCTTAACTCTACGGGTTCAACCGCAAGACTTAGCTTTATTTCTCTTTTCCTTTTTCAAGAGTTTCTGAGATTCTCTCTTCCACAAAATGGCCCCATAAAATTTCTCCTTCAGTTTCTATATCCAACCCCTGTAGATAAGCTGGCCATTCATATAAGTGCATAAAAATGAAACTAATAATCTTTATGTTTTAAAGTTGTTTTGTTTGTTTTTTTTATATATAAAGTACAATGTGGCAGTGGCTTGTAGAACAGTCATAGGCCTTTACAAAACTTGTTAGTGGATTCACAGAAGATTTAGTGCATATAAGCTGGGCCTGGTACTAATAAAAGCAAAAGAACCAACAAATCTGTCTTGGAGGAAGTTAAGTACAGCCAGAATACATCTTAGAGGCAAGGATGGCGGGACTTCATCTCACACACTTTGACATGATAGCAGGAAAGACCAGTCCCTAGAAAAGGACATCGTGTTTGGTAAAAAAGAGGGGCAGCAAAAAAGGGACAAGATGGAGTGACACAGTGGCTGCAACAATGGCTCAAGTGCAACAGCAGCTGCGAGGCCGGCCCAGGCCCAGGCGGCATTTCTTTCTGCTGCACACAGGCTCTGAGGGGGAGCTGCCTCGACAGCCCCTCACAACAGCAGAACTAATGAATGTTGAGGCAGACTCACGAAAGGCAGCGCTTGTCTTCTCTCTCCTTATCTTTTAGGGTCTAGAAAAGTACCCGGCATATAGGAAGATCAGTAGGTAGTGAACAAGCCAATCTCCAAAATGATAAAATCTAAAACCTCTAAAAGACGTGAAATCAGGCAAGCATTATTTCATATAATTTACATAGAAGGCCTCCCCGGAAACAAAATCTGACTGATTGATATTTTTTGCTACCTAACAACAGTTAAGGAATATACTGAAAGAAGTGAGATTAAGAAACAAGACTTGTTTACTGCATTTCAAAGGATCTCAACTTGGTATGTTTCTGCTTATGAATGCTAGTTTGACACACTAAAATTTACGAGTAGGACTATAAAAAATGTCACAAGGCTCTTTCAGCTTTCAATACTGAGTAAGGTTCAGGAGAGGCCTGCTTCATTTTAGGTTTAACTTTGGAGTGTTAGAGTGAGACGTCCAAGTATACTGGTGCACAGACTTCAATCCGGTGCTCCAAGACATGAATGCAACATAACGGGCATGTAGCAGGTCTGAGGGGCTAGACCCAATCCCAACTACGTGGACTGCCCCGCGTCCCCGCACAAGAATTCACTTCAGAGGACAGCACTGAAGCTACAGCTCAGGGAAAGGGACATGTCTGACCAGAGCACACGGAAGCAAATGAAGGAAGAGGAAAAGAGAGTGGACATCCTGGTCCATCAAGCCCTGAGGACGATATTCCCGCTTAGAGCAGCCAAAGCACAGTGAGGACTATAGGGCCGGCCCCACTATGAGACCCTACATCCTTCACTGACCCATAGGAGCTACGGGGGACAGCACTGGAGACACAGTGCAAGAACTGCACCTGATCTGACCCCACCACACTGAGGCGAAACACTGAGGGTGTGCAACAGAACAGCAAGGAGAACAGAGCAACGAAGTCCCCAGGGAATACCAAAAATAGACTTTGGGGCCAGGACGTGGTACCCCTATCAGAACCGACTGGAAAACGCTCCTAAAGGCCAACCTTGCACTATTTACTTTTCTTTCTTTCTTTTTTGTTTTTGTCATTTTTGTTGTTGTTTTGTCTTTTTGTGTGTGTGCATATTATTATCTCTGCAGGTCTATCTAGATAAGACAGGTGGGGATAAACAATCTGGAGGAGAAAACAACAGGACTGACGGTTCTGGGGGGACATGGGAGAGGGGGAGGCGGGGGAAAGAAAGTGGGTGCTAACAAACCCAGGGACAAGGGAACAACAAGTGATCCAAAATAGATGGTGAGGAGGGTGCAGGAGGCCTGGTAGGGTGTGATCAAGGGCAA